CCTGCGCGGGGAGGGGCCACGGGGAAGGGGACGGCGGGGCGGAGCGGCGCGGAAAGGTGGGGTCGACCGAGGCGGGGCCCTGGAGGAGGCACCCTGACGCCGCTGCTCCCCCAGCCTGGCCAAGCCAGCGATCACTGACCCACTCACTGACTGGGGAGGTTGCTGAGGGGCATGCAGGCTACTCACCTATCCATCTATCTATCCACCTGTTCATCCATCCGTTCGACACATGCTTTGCTCTGGGTAATCCACCCGGTCGCACAGACTAGGGGGAAGGCTGGCAACTAAACCAACTCTTTAATTAGTTGCGCTCACGCTCATGGGGTTCAGAACGTGATGGAAGCACCAGAGAGGTACCTGCCCTAGCTGGGTTGCCCCGATCTGCAGCAGCAAGTTGGGGGTGGGGCGCGGAGTGGGGGTGATGTGGGAGGGAGGAAAGGGTCGTTGCTGACCTTTCTCCACCTCATTCACCATCCCAGGTAGCTCTGCCCCACGCAGAGGTGGGTTCCCACTTTTCAAGGCAAAGAACTGCGCCTTGGGGATACCAATTGAATTAAGACAGAATCGCTGTCCTTGAGGAACTTAATCTGTGATAGAGAGAGACACAGTTACTGCGTGCAGTGATTCGTGCTGTGGGTGAACGAATGTGTTCTACTTTGAGTTCGTCTACCCAAAAGAGATCTAAGAATCTGTGAAGATTTTTGGAGGAAGTAACATTTGCTTGAAGAATGAATGAGACTTTAAATTTCTTAATTTTTTGTTCTCATTCTCCCCTGCATTGTTCCAAAAATTATGTGAAGATAATGATTCTAACAAGTGGCGGTGGAAGATAGGCGTGGGGAGAAAAGCCTGAGCAGAGGTGTCCAGAGCAGGCCCTAAAGATGTTCTTCCCCACTTCCCTACCCTCCCCCCTTCCAGGCGGTTGGGTCGGAGACTTCGGGTTATCAGCATCGCTGATGGAGGATTGGCTGTGTTGTTCAAGAAAGATGATCAATTGTACTAAGAGTCAGGATCTGAAATTCTCCAGGGGCTGCTCCAAGGTGCGGCCCAGAGTTCCCAGGAGGGTAACTTGGTCTAAAGAAGCCTAGTGATGCACCAGCCCTTGGGCAGACACTTTTGGGGTTCGTGTAGAACAAGGGTGTGTAACTGGCACAGGTCAATGGAGTGGCTTCAGTCCAATATATAGATAAGAATATTTTTTTTCTGGGGAATTTTTATCATATTTTAAAGAGGTCCTCGATTCCTTCCCATCCCCGACTCCTCCTCCCCCTCAAATAAAAGTTAAGAAACCGTGTTGACGCTAGGGCTCCAGAGCTCCTTCTTAGACTAAAAGAACCGGTGAGAAGAGGGGGACGGCGCTAATCCTCTCAAAGGAGAAACTGTAGCGGGTTTACGGTCGGTGGAGTTTAATGGGAACTACAACTCCCAGAGATCTGTGCGACAAAGCCAGAGCTTACTGGCCGGTGGGACGGACCCTCTCCTAACGTGACACATGGAAAAGCCAATAGGCACGGGGCACTGCCGAGCTTTCCCGACCGCCGCTCACCTATCAGAGGCCTTGGAGTCGATGCTTCCGGTAGCCGCGCCGGACTCCGGATTCCTGGTAGGTGAGGTGGGATGACCCTGGGGAGGCAGGTGTTTTGTGGGGCAGTGAGACTAAAGATATTTTGTCTCCACTACTGCCCAGCCTGGCGGGTGTAGGAGGTCTGTGGGTTGGCGGGGGGGGAGGTGGAGGAACCCGCTCTTGGGGGGAGGATGAAAGACACCCATGGGTGCATAGAGTGTGGGGGGAATGGTGGGGGACCCGCGTGCGAGGGTCCGCGAATGCGGACGAGTCGGGGTGGCTTTAAACGAGTGAATACATTTCCTGTGACTCGTGAGTGACGCTTCTGGGAGTACATCCTGAGGAAGCTATCCAAAATGAAGAAAATGCTTTATGCGTGAAGACCTTTATCACAGCGTTATTTATAATAGGATAAAGTCTACAACTAGGTGTCTCAATAGAGAGGAAAAATTACGTGCAACTTCACTGAATGAATATTAAGTGGCCTTTAAAAGTAATTTACAAAACTTTTAAATAACATGGGAAATGCTTATATATAATGTTAAGCGAAAAAATTGTAATAGGAAATTGTACGGTATAATTGAAAAAGTTTAACCAAAACTGCATAGAACAAAGTCTGGAGACATGTAGTCATAATTTTCTTTGTTTTTTTACCCTTTTACCTTTCTTATGTGTTACTTTTTAAAAAGTAAGTATAAATAACTTGAAATTATTTCGTAGTGGAAACACATAAACAGGAAAACAAGGTGGAGGTTATGTACGTCTGTGTAAACCTGCTGAAAGCGTTCCAATTCACCTAAGCCCCTTGATCCTCACCATGAGTTACCTTTAAAGAGGATTAAAAACAGAAGAATTAAATGGCCATAGATTAAGCACTAGGTCCTGGTTCTGATCACCTCTCCCCTGAACTAATTGAGTCGGCTTTTCTCTTTCTGAAACACCCACGGCTCCTCATTTCAGTTATCTTGTAGTCTGAGGGTTGAGAGACGAACAGGTATACAGTTAGCTATAGGCAAAATATAAATATTTTAAAAAATACAAAATAATTGGAGACCTCCCAAAGGTTATTTCAGCCTTTTTCCTCTTGGCTCTCTGAAGCATTGGCTTTAACTTCTAAATTCTTTTTTTAAAATAAGTTTATTTATTTAAATTAGTTTCAAATATACAGTACATTAGTTAGACATCTATAATGTTCGTAAAACAATCCCCCCAATTGCTCCCTCCCTCCCCTGGCTCCCCACTTAGCCATCATATTAATGCTAACTACATTCCCTCTTCCGTGCTCCCCATGCCCAACTATCAGCTACTGATTTGTACTTCTTTAACCCTTCACCCCATTCTCCCAGCCTCCCCTCTGTCCGTCACCAAATTATGCACTCTATTTGTGAGTCTGTTTTTGATTAGTTTGTTCTTTTTGTTCCTTAGATACCGCATATAAGTAACTTCCAAATTCTTAACCTCTGACTGCCTAAGGTACCTTGGTACCCTATAGACATCTTAAATGAAGCACATTTATTACTAAATTTATCACACACAACACATCCTTCTTACCTTTAAAGCATGTTCTGCTTTCTCTATCATAAATGGTTTAACAATTTCCCAAGCAAAAACTTTGGGTATTAATTCTTCCTTCCCCACCATTTATATCCTACCGATATTATCTGTTACATCTGCTTTAGAAATATATCTTGAATCAGGTCCTCTTTCTCTACCAAAGTATCTACAAACTTGGCTCACTTTCTCATTGAAACATTCAAACTATTTCATGGCCCCTTATTAAACTTCTCACTTTTCTTTCTTAGGTTTATCCTGTACACTGTCACATGAATGTGTGCTGATTCCTCCAAATTTCTCAGCAGTCCCTTTATGATCAGGGAGATAAGGTTGGAAAGGTATATCAATATTAGATAATATAAGGCCTTAAATGCCTTGCTAAGACATTTTGAAAGCACTTCTTTATATATGTAGACTGGAGACTCATCCAAAGATATTGAAGCAGAAGAACAAAATGGCTGACTGTGATTTTTTTTTCCCCAAAGATAATTCTGTTCAACTACATGAGGTATCCAGGCTCAGTGGGACAGAAGAGACTAGGATCAAAAGGACTTCTCCTTGTCTGACCCTACTAAAAGAGGAGAGGTCATCAGGACCTGGACCACCAACGGAGTAAAAAGGGTTAGAGCAGATTTTTTAAATTATTGTTAGGTTTTTGAGAAAAATATGCCAAATTTCTTCTCGTAACTAAAGGTGGAAAACATTAAAATTAATTATTCTAAAAACTTTAGTAACCTTATTATGTTTGTTTTCCCCTTATTCACAGATCCTTACCCTGTCCTACCCCTGGCCATATACACCCCCTTAATGACATTAAACTGACTTGTGTGGCTTAAAATGTATAAAAATTGTCTTTGATATAATTGGTCCTTTAGGAATTTTCTCTATCCAATAAAATGTACCATGCATTATTTATCAATAAAAGTCTTTTAGAAGTGCATAAGTAGGGGAAAACATATATTATCTTATATAAGACCAGTAGGTTAGAGATGGCAGTTTTCTTCATTAATAATGACAAGGGACTTATTTCTCCATTTAGTAAGCCACTGCAGAACCACTTAATCTAACGCGTAGAAGTATAACAAGCCATTCTTTTATGGTAAAAGATTCTAAAAGCAAGGACAAAGGTAGCAAAGAGGTATGTTAAGTTTGAAGTGAATGTGGATAGGACTAATATCAGCCATAATGTAAAGTCTGAAACATATTTGAATAGCATTACAGCTCAGCAAAGAAGCCAGGAGAAGAGATGCAGATCTGGGAGTAAGAAACATCGGTGATAATTGAAAGCATGAGAGTAGGTGACTTTGGAAGGAAGGAAAAGAGAAAAGTAATTAGAACTGAATACTAAACTTTTTGGCTCTATCCACATCTGGATAAAAATTGGAAATAAGCTGAATTCCCACCTATAGGGGAATCGTTGAAAACATTATGGTATATACATACTGTGGGTATCTCATTGCTACTAATACAGCTACTTCAAAGATTGAGGTGGATCTATATTACTGACTTAGAAAGGTGCCCATGATTTAAATAAATTAGTGAATGTTATGTAACCTATGATCCCTGTAGTAACCGGTCGTATTTTGGAAAACCCTTTCATATTTTGGGGAGAATCTCCCATTGTGTGAGTTGTGGTGGAAGGCAGAGCCCATCCCCTATTATAGAAGCCTCTGTGGAAAACCCTCCCTCTGCACCTCCTGGCTGCTAGAGCAAAGGGTCTGTGAGCTGAGCTCAGCCAGTGGGAGGCTTCCCCACTTTGTGAGTCTTAAGCAATTGCCATCAAGTGAAGGAGCAGTGAAGTTAGGTTCTCAGCTGCTGATGTGTCTGGAGAGAGGCAGGAGTGGTTTATCGTGCCTAGCCTCACTTGGTTCCTGCTTGTTTTCTGAGCTTGGTTCTTGAGCCGCCTTTTTATGCTTCAGTTAGTCACAGTGGTTTCTGTTGTTAATACCCAGGAACTCTGACTTATGCCCCATTTTTTTGTTTAAAAGAAAAAACTTGGCATATATAAAATCCTTTATGTTTTTTCGTACGTTTCTTTAACAGTTTCAAAGGCTACACACTAAATTGTTAACAGTACTTTTGTCAAGGACTTGAGATATGGGGGGCGGGGTGGTGTTGGCGGTAAAGAGGGGTTGGCATAGGATAGGAAGAAACATTTTGCTTTACTTTAGATACTTCTTGGTTTATTTGAATGTCATTGAATAAAGCATGTACTTGAGTAATATAAATGTTTGGGGAAAAAAACTTAAAAATGAAACAATCGAAGATAATACTTGCCTAACCTACTTTACATTATTGTGAAGGATTGTTGCAAAGAGCAAATGCAGTAGGGAATATGAAAATATTCTAAAAATTAAGTGCTATTTGAATGTGATGAAGTAGAAATAGCAATAGTGACTTTTGAGTGTCATTTCAGTATTGAGGTAAAGACCATTTTGAAGGGAGTTGAGGAAATAACTGCTAATAAAGTTAGGGATGTGAATGTCAGTTATTCATTGAATTGGCAGTGAAAGGAGAATAGAAATTAGGCAGCGAAGGAGACTTTTCTCAACTTTTTAATTCGATGCTTTTCTAGCTCAAAAATTGAAAGTACGGTGAATACTGACGTAACCTCAATCTGGATTCAGCAGTTGCTAACATTTTGCTACATTTGTTTTAGCTGTCTGCCCATCTATATAAAATTTTGTTGTTTGTTTGTTTGCTGAAGCATTTTGAAAGCAAGTTTTAGGCATCGGGACACTATCCCAAATACTTCAACATACGCATTTTAGCAATAAGGACACTTTCCTACATAACCACAATACCATGGTCACACTTAAGAATATCTCCTAATATCCATTTCATATTCCAGTTTCCCCAGTTCTAAAAATATTTTTTGTACAGCTGAAACTTATTGGATTTCATTAACCAATGTCACCACAAAAAAATAAATTTAAAAATTAAAAAAATAAATAAATAAATAAATTTTTTTGTAGGAAATTTTATTTCCTCAATTTAAGATCCAGAATTTATACATTGCGTTTACTTGTTATGGTAGCCTCTTTTAATCTGCCATATTCCTCCTTCCCTTGTCACCTCTCATAGTACTGTCCTATGAAAGGCATAAGCCAGTTGTCCTACATTCTGGATTTGCCTGATTATATTCTCCGTGTATAGCTTTCCTTCTTAATTATTTCAGATAACCTTTATCAGAAAGGATGGAGCTGGGAAAAGGAAAACTTCTCAGGACTGGGCTGAATGCATTGTATCAAGCAATACACCCAGTTCACGGCCTTGCCTGGACCAATGGGAATCAAGTAGTCCTGACTAATGTTCAGCTTCAGAGTGGAAAGGCCAAGTTTGGGGACTCAAAGGTCATCGGACATTTTGAACACGTATATGGGGTATCCTGGGCCCCACCTGGTTCGGCCGACAGGCCCGCTCTACTTGCTGTCCAACACAAGCAGCATGTCACTGTGTGGCAGCTGTGTCTCAGTACTACAGAGACAAGCACATGGTTGATGTCTCAGACCTGTGAGATTAGAGAATCATCCCCTGTCCTTCCCCAAGGCTGCGTATGGCACCCAAAAAGTGCTGTCCTGACTGTGTTGACTGCACAGGATGTTTCCATTTTCCATGATGTTCACTGTGACAGTTCCCGGGTGAGAGTGGACAGCAACACCCAAGGTCTTATTCACTGTGCGTGTTGGACTCGGGATGGCCAGAGGCTGGTGGTGGCAGTAGGCAGCAGCCTGCATTCTTATATTTGGGACAGTGCTCAGAAGACTCTTCATCGGTGCTCCTTCTGCTCAGTATTTGATGTGGACAGCTACGTGCGCTCCATTGGAGCCACTGTGGACTCACAGGTCGCCGTAGCCACTGAACTTCCACTAGATAAAATTTGTGGCTTAAATGCTTCTGAAACACTGATTGTTCCACCTAGTATTGAAGACACTTCTCTGTATGCTTCACCGGTTATTGATGAAGTGCCCTCTGTGGAGAAAGGGGTAACCCCTTGTGAAACAAATTCTGAAGCATCAGTTTCTCCCTTTTCTTCTTCCTGTTCAGATCCTCTGGATCTAACTCATATACATTTCAGTAGATCTGCGTCTGAGAGCAGTGCTCTTATTTGTCTAAGAAAAAAGGACGACTGGACTCGAACTGGTCTGGATTCTTCACATTTGGTCCTTGTGACCTTTGAGAAAGAGGTTACTCAGACCAGAAAAGTCACCATTCCAGGCATTCTTGTTCCTGATCTAATAGCGTTTAATCTTAAAGCACAGGTCGTGGCAGTGGCTTCCAATACTTGTAATGTAATTTTTATCTATTCTATCATTCCATCATTTATGCCAAACATCCAGAAAATTCAGTTAGAGAGTAGTGAAAGACCAAAAGGCTTATGTTTCTTGACAGATAAATTATTATTAATTTTGCTAGGAAAACAAAAATCCACTGATTCCACGTTTCTTCCTTCTTCAAAGTCTGATGAGTACGTCATTCGCTTGATTGTTAGAGAAATAATGTTGGAAGAGGAATGTCCAGTAACACCAAGTGAAAACCAGAGTGGCTACTCTACTTTCAGTACCCTGTTAAATAAAGCAGAGAGAAAAACACTAATTGAAAGTCTTTCCCCAGATATTTGTTACCAAAACAGAGGGTTCTTGTTCACAGCTAATAGCAGTGGTCGAAGAGGAAGGCCTGGAAGTGCCCTTATTAAAGAAATCAAAAGCCCTCCATCCAGTGTCCGTAATTGCCCCATAGCCCTGGAAACTCAAGATGCTGCCCCTGTTAACCAGTCAGTAACGCTGCCCACACCCAGCAGCAGACCAGACCTCACCAGCACCCCAGGACCTCCTAATTTCCTTCAAAGAAATAACTTAGAAAGGGAAAAGGAAACTTGCCAGCTATCTAAGGAACTAGAAGTTTTATCTAAGAACCTGACTGAAGTCCAGCGATGTCTTTCTAAACTCACAGACTTCCTATATAATGGAAAGAAATCCTCTCCAGTGTATCCACTCTCTCAGGATCTGCCTTATGTCCACATCACTTACCAGGTAATTTCTCCTTTGAGGAGCTGCCCACTGTACCTAAAAGCTCCTGCAGCCAGGGGTACTGCCAGAAAAATTGATGAGGAAGACGGTGCTCTGATGGAACTGGGCATGTTGTGTTACAGGCAAGTTGTTACACCTTCCCAGATCGGTTGCCTGCTGCCAACCACATGGACACACATACCAGTAGGAACTGATTTCTCCATGCGTGTGATGTGAAAACGTAAATGAGTGCACGCTTATTCTGGCAATTTACATTTAGAAAAAAATTTTTTTAATTGTGCTATTGTGAAAAATTTTCTTTATGCAATGCAGACCCTCTTCCATTTATAAAAAAGGTTATATTTATTTTAAAATTTCTAATGGATCTATTTATGCATGCATATGCAAATACTTAATATGACGTGAATGGGATTGCATCATATCTGTTTTTATCATGAACACTTTCCTTCCCCATTGAACGTGGTCCTGCTTCTCCGCCTTGAACTAGTGGCTTAATGTGGATCCTTCCATAGTTTATTTCATAGTCATTTAATCTTACACAGATCTTTGTATATGCAGATATATAGAGGGTGGGCGTTTTGTTATTGTTTTGCGAAAAT